GAAGGATAGCGCTTGAGCAGTAGGCTGGTCGGACGCTTGTATTCGCCTATCTTTAAACGTTAATATCTCGTTAAATATTGCGTCAACTGCAAAATGGTATAAAACTGTTTTGTTCCCCTTGATCTAATCTACGTCTCCATTGTGTTTCGATCCGTTTTTTTTTAGACACCCTGTATATTAGCAAATAAAAATAAAGTGTTGCTGAACTTATGCAAACGTATTCATGTACACACAAGTTCTTTTACTATATTTTTTATATCATTATTTAACTTTGCATAACTCGAAATGGGTACAGCTAAATAAAATGTTAATTAAAAAATAACAACTTATATTCTGTATAAGTGTTCTTAAATCTTTTATAAAAATCCATTTTTATTTGTAGTGCACTGATATCCAATAAAATTTTACAAATATTAATTTTTATGAAGATACACAAGCAGGATTGTCCCTTTCGTATAATAGTTTCTTCGATAAATAGTCCTTTGTATTCGTTGGCAGTGTTTCTTCATATTATTATCATTAAAACAATTCCTAAGGCGGATAGTCATATTGAAAATAGTTTTAAACTTGTTAAGGAGCTTGATGGTAGGCGGCTGAGTGATGAATTTCAGTTAATGTCTTTGGACGTTGTTAGCCTCTTCACTAACGTCCCCATCGACTATGCGATGGACTGCATCAAAGATCATTGGCGTTTTATTTCCAAAGATTGCAGTTTACCTGAGGAGGAATTCATCAAAGCAGTTCAATTTGTTTTAGATTCTACTTTCTTTGTTTTTGATAGTGTTATATATAAGCAGAATTATGGTACTCCTATGGGCTCTCCATTGTCTCCCGTCATCGCGGATCTGGTTATGCGAAAGTTAGAGAGTAGGGCTTTGTCTTTGATTCGGTTTCCGTTGCCCTTTTACTAGGTATGTTGACGATATAATCATGGCGGCTCCTGATTCTTCGGTTAGTTCCAGTCTTGATATTTTTAATTCGCAGCATCCGAGGTTTAAGTTTACTATGGAAGTGGGGGGTGATAGATTGAATTTTTTGGATGTTACAGTGATTAGGGATGATGAGTTGACAGAGTTCGATTGGTACCACAAGCCGACTTTTTCAGGTAGATATTTGAACTTTTGGTCACAGACCCGGTTTCTTAAAAAATAGGTACAGTCGTGGAATTAGTTGATAGGGTAGTTTTGCTTTCGAATCCTAAATTTCACTTTGATAATTTCTGTTTTATAATTAAAGTATTGTTAGAGAATGATTACTCTTTAAACTTCATATTTGAGAATATTAGCAATCGTTTGAAAAACGTTATTATGGCTAGTAATAGGAAGAATGTCGTTAATGATAGTAGCATTGACGTAGCGCAGCCTTCGTGGTTCACTGTTCCGTTCGTTCGTGGTATTATTGAGAAGTTTAGTAGATTGAATAGCTATCGTATGAGGGTGTCGTTTTACAGAAGCAATAAATTGCGAGAATTCATTAGGGTATATGAGGACCCCTTACTGCGTGAAAAGAAGTCGAATGTTGTTTATAAGATTTCTTGTAAGGGTTTCGACGCGAGTTATGTGGGACATATGTGTAGACAGCTGAAATCAAGAGTCACGGAGCATAAGAACCACATCCGATGGAACACGTCTACTCGTAACGTTATAACGGAGTATCGGTTGCAAGAGGGCCATGACTTTGATTGGGACACCGTTACAATATTGGACAAGGGACCACATTACAGGAAGAGATTGACTTCGGAGATGATATTGTCAGGAGACAGACGCACGGACTCAACTTGGAGACGGATATGGAGGGGCTTCCCAAGGCCTACCTCCCGATCATTGACAAGCTATAAAAGGTCGAGTTGTTGTCGCGCCTAGTCAGTCAGTGTCGCTCGTACACAGCAATGATTTCCAGCCTTTCTGGCATGATTTTAGATTATTTTCTAACTTTCATTTTCCTGAAATTGGTTAATATTTTAACGTTAGATTTTCCCATTTGTAATCTCAAAAGACTAACTAAACTTAAAAGTGACTCACTGTGTTTGATAATGACTGGCCAACATATCAAGAACTGGTTTTTGAATTATTAATAATAGTGTTTGCGATATGGTGCTTTGTGATCATGGCGTCCCTATGTTCGGGATTATTAATTATAATTTTAAAGTTTTTTAATAAATTAGTGTGTGTGTGTGTGTGTGTGTGTGTGTATGTGTTTTCCATTTTCTCTATTCCGATATTTCCAATATTTCCTTTCTTTTTCTTTTCCTTTCATTCTTTTTTGAGTTTAATTTCTGGCAATTATATTCTCGATGTAGGGGAGCTCACCATGACAAGATAACTTTTATTCACATTTTATATATGTTGGTTTGTGTTGTCTCTGAAGAAGGCTCAAAAGTGAGTCGAAACACGTAAGCGCGTTTAATAGAATAAAGAAGTTTTACGGGTGTATCTTTTGCGCAACGTCTTCTGCGCTTGACTCCTATTGCCCATGTTCTTTCCTAATTCTTTTGATTTATAAGGAGTCTTTGTTAGTTTGATTTGTTATACGGATTAATTTTTATCAATCAATAAAAAATTTTATTAAACATTTTTTGTATATTTCTCTATTATATATAATTTTTTCGTACATAATTTATTGATATATCGTAGTATAAACATTCCTTCACCACTTGCAACATTACAAATATTTTGTAATATTGTTTAATATTGTGTAATATTATTTAAAAAACCTGTGTAATGCTATTTTTTGGCCTTATTACAAAAAATGAGAATTCTAAATCGATTATCGAACTTGATCGAGGTCGATAGTGAAGACTTTTTTTAATTCCAAATTCCATATGTTAGTTAAAGACAGATATATGCGTTTGAGTGAGATAGAACGATATATATATAATATAATGTAAGAAATGAACCAAAGATGTCACTATTTGTGACATCTTTGGTTCATTTCTTACATTATATTATATATATATCGTTCTATCTCACTCAAACGCATATATCTGTCTTTAACTAACATATGGAATTTGGAATTAAAAAAAGTCTTCACTATCGACCTCGATCAAGTTCGATAATCGATTTAGAATTCTCATTTTTTGTAATAAGGCCAAAAAATAGCATTACACATATGCCATCACCATCTATAGCAAGACACCATCACACAACTACTACTACACGGAATTTCGGCTCTTTTGACAGTCCCAGTCTTCGCAAAGCATCCGTATACACGTATTTTCCTTTCGGTTAAACGGCTTTTTTTCTAGACTTTCAATCTTAGTTCTACAAACTCGGTATCGCTCGTTTCAGTAATGTGACCTCAGCTGCATGTTTATTTTCAAGATAAGGGCTATAAAACTCTTATATCAAGCAAATATATATCTTAGGTAACAGCTGTACGAGCCAAAAGTAAATGAATTTTTAACGAATTCTAAACTTTTTTCGATTTTCTCATGAAATCCAATGCAGCTGAGGTCCTGTTTTGTGCGTACTTTAATTCTGTACTAATAATTTTATAATCCGTAAATCCAACTGGGAGATTTTTTACCGAATGGAAATGAGGTTAAATAGGACAACTTTAGCATTTAAAACGGTCCCGTTAAAGGATCCTTAGGCGCATTTTGGGTCCCAATTCTTAAGCTCGTCCAGAATCTCCAACATGAGCGGGTTCCCACCTAATCGTTCAATTTCAGCCCTCGCAACCGAATCCAATTCTTCAAGTACATTTCTTGTGTATTCAAAGGAACCAAATTTCTCTAATAATTTAACGCAATGACGTTTCACTTCGATATCCTTTGTTCGTTGTCGTAAAATATCTTTATTAATCATTATTAAAGAAATATATAAATCTAATAAATTATAATAAAAATTTTCAAATCTGAAGTATATGGAATAATTATTAAAAAAAGTTTACTAATTGTATAACGAATATACTTTTTCTAAATAAGAATAACATTTGATAAAGGATACTTATTATTTGTTTATCTTCAGGATTGCTTTTAATGGCATGAATAATCGGAAAGCTGAATTTTCCTTCAGTCAAATCTTCACAATAACCTTTGTCCTCAGTATACTGTAACAAAAATAAATGTAGATAATATAAATTTATTTCATTAGATCGAATATATTATCGCTTACCTCATCGACGCACAAGTTACAATAATCGTCGCGTATTTGAAAATATAATCCGAAAGTAGCTATTATAAACGAAAAATCTTCTTCATAAGTTGAGAACAATTTCATTAATGTTATCAAAAAACTGAACATTTCACCAGTTTCTGCAAAATTAATGAATGTTTGAATCCTTTTTTAACATAAATGACTTTCTATATGTATATATATAAAATAGAGATTGTATAAATATTAGCAGTTACTTTTTTTTATCATAATCTTGTACTCTTCCTCAGTTGGACAGGTGAAATTATCTCTCCATAAAATATCCATTCCCTGACCTCTATGAGCCTCTAATAAGTGTTCCACACATACTTGCGTTACCTGATAATAATATTATATATATAGGGTGTCCCATTTATAGGATCCATTCAAATATCTCAGAAACATTGTGTTAAATCGAAAAATGTTTCAGACAAAAGTTTTGTGACTTCGAGAGGAACATAAGATGGTACCGTTGGTTTGATCTTGGGTGGTGTTGTCAAGGTCATGGCAAGGTCAATTTGAATTTTTTAAATGGAGCCCCCATTTTTTATTTGATATTCTTGTAGCTAATCTCGAGAGCTTTCCAAAATACTATAATTTAATTCATTTTCATTAAATACTTTTCGATATTATAAGGCTTAAAAGTTACAGTACCCCTGGCATTAGCATTACTCAAGGTGTCCGATCGACAGCTGAAACCTCTTGAATGTTCAGGATCACGACCTGGCCATTGGAAGTTGTACCTCTTATTTTCATTTTTACTTAGAAATGAATTTTTAATGCAAAAATGAAAATAAGAGAAACAACCTCTAATGACTATAATCTTGACAAATGTTATCCAGGTTGTGATCCTGAACAACATTCAAGAAGGTTTAGCCGCCGGACACCTTGGGCAATGCTAATTCCGGCCGTACTGTAACTTTCAAGCCTTATAACTCGAAAAGTACTTAACGAAAATAAACTTAATTATAGTATTTTGGAAAGCTCTCGAGATTATCTACAAGAATATCAAATGAAAAATGGGGGTTCCATTTAAAAAATTCAAAGTGACCTTGCCCTGACTTTGACAACGCCATGCAAGGTCAAATCAATGGTACCATCTTATGTCCTCTTCGAAGTCACAAAACTTTTGTCTGAAACATTTTTCGATTTATCGCAGTGTTTCTGAGATATTTGAATGGATCCTTTAAAATGGGACACTCTGTTTTTATATATATGTATATAACATATACTATTATATTGTCGATTTATAATTTATTTGTATTTAATATATACATTCAATATGTCTTAACTTAAATCATTATTTGTAATGTTGTGTGTCACATATTTTTTGAGATAACATTGATATAGGTTGCATCTATATATATGTTAATTTTTTATTTTCATTTTTACACTTTTAGCAATCAAAATCAATTATATGACGAACAAAGAAAGGAAAAAAGAGAGACAAGTAGATAAAAAAAACTGGATTGTAATAGCAATCATGGCCGTACACAGTAGTGTGTCCAATGAATACACCTAATATTCGAATAAATAAATAAAAAATGAATAAAAATACTCATTCGAATGTTTCTCTTTTATTCGTCAAAAAAGAAACGAATAAATACTTTTTCATTTTATTCGAATGAATATTTTTTTAATATATGATTACGAATATTTTTGTTTCGTATTCACTTTTACTATGTGTTATCTGCACATAGTATTTATTTGTCATATGATTGTAAAGCCTGCAAGTGAAAACAGAAATCTATAAAAACAATGACTACGATTACAGCGTGCACTTAGACCGCGATCAACGTCCTTGCTTAATCTATAGATCAAACAAAGGTATTTTTATTCGAAATAAATAATATATCTTAAAATTTATTGTCCACAGACCATAATGAACGACCAAAATATCTTATAAAATGTTTATAACATTATTGTGATGTAACCGGAATTATATCGGAGTATGTATGGCGCTCTATCAGATAGATAGATATAAATAAAAAATGTATTGCTTTCTAAAATATTTTTCAAAATTTCAAAGTTTTCTTCAAAGAATCTGAATATTACAATGAGAAAAATAAATAAAATTCATTTTTTACTTTTAATTCATATTTTAAAGTTATCAAACGGTTAAGGGATAATGCTTGCTTATTGGAGTTTTCTTTATCTGTTTATATTTTGTTTGAATGAATATGAATACTTTAAATATAGTTTTTTTGTGAATAAATATTTTTTGAAAACTCAAAATTTTGAAGGTATATATGATTACATTTTTTTTAATGTCAAAATTTTGAATAAATACAATTTGGAGCTTAATTATAAATTTTTATATTCATCGGGCACACTACACAGTGTACTCAATACCGCATTTATTAATATATTAATATGATATTCAGTTGATTCTCTAAAAATCAATTCTCTGTATCGTTATTTATTAAAAAAAAATTATTCATAATTATTTGAAATAGCTGCTTTTATCAATATTCATTGTTAATATTAAGAAAGAGTAATATATTAAGAAAGATAATTAAAAAATAAACAATACGAGAAAATAGGACAATTATAATGGTGTTTCTACTTAATTTTAAAAAATATCCTTTTTTTTTACATAAAATAATTTTATAATATTATTACATGAATGTCTTAAACTTTGTATTTAAGTAAACTGAAAACTTTTGTAAGTATTATAGTAATGAGAGATATACATACGAGAGGAGAGAGTATATATATCTCATCATGGT